ATAAATAAATAAATAAATAATGGCTACTTTGCCCACCTCTTCTCAGTCCTGGAACCATCTGAGAGAACAGCAAGAAACACAGAGAGTTGCTCAAGTATCTGCTTTATTCATCAGATTTCCTGTATCCACATTAACCTAAACTCTCTACATTTCTTTTAAAAAACAAGGCTTTGATGGGTCATCTTCCTTGTAGAACTTGTATTCACATGTTTCTCGGTCCACAATGGCTGTGCATCCTTCAACGATAACAGGGCCACCATATCTAAAAGGGAAGGGGGGGTGAGAAATAAGAAACTGTAGGGATGAGGAAGCCATTTTTGATTTCCCTTGGAAAGAACAATTTCAGTCATGGGTTACCTGGTGCAGCACGTCATCCTTGCCTCAGAGCATTCACACCTTAAACAGCCATCTGTGTTCCACGTTGATCCAAATAGGTGCTTCTTGCCATCATAAGGATCAACACATCCATTTCGTTTAGCTAAGAGGAGAAGACGAGGTAAGAAGCCATTTGAAGCATGTTAGAAACTCCACATTTCAACATAAAATCAGGTCCTGAGATCAGTGTATAGTTTGGAAATTGTAATTAGAGGTGTGCAGATCTGTGTTTTTGGACTACCATTCTCAGAATTCCACTTCTGTCTCCCTGGATGTTGAACTACAAGTACCGTTATCCTCTACATTGGCCATCCTGACTCGATGATGGAAGTTTGGGTCTAGCATTAGGAAAGTCACAGATTCCCTGACCCTGCTCAAACAACCACCACCTTAGCCCTGCAGAGCTAGAAGGGACCCTGTGGATCATCCAGTCCAGCCCCTGTCCTAGAGGCACAAGACAGAATCAAACTCCCAACCAGAGACCTAAACCACTGAGCTATCCGTCAATGCTAAAGAGGATCTATAGCAATTCCCATGGTTAGTTAGGCATCCTTCAGTCTCGAGGGACTATGGTAACGTGCTCTGTATGGAGGACTTGGAACAGTGTCTAGTGTAGCTGAGAAGGCCAATTTGAGAGTGACCGCCCCTTCTACACCAAAGACAAATACAATCTGTCCCCTGTCCAGCTCCCTGATTTTGCTGCTTTCGTGACTGCCTCTTTGCCTCGGCCTGCTGGACAAAGGTCTCTTCAAATTGGGAGAGGCCGTGATGCACCGCCTGCCTCCAGGCTGAACGCTCAGACATCAGGGTTTCCCATCTGTTGAGGTCCATTCCTAAGGCCTTCAGATCCCGCTTGCAGATGTCCTTGTATTGCAGCTGTAGTCTCCCTCTGGGGCGATTTCCCTGCACTCCTTCTCCATACAGGAGATCTTTTGGAATCCGACCATCAGCCATTCTCATGACGTGCCCAAGCCAACGTAGATGTTGCTGTTTCAGTAATGTATATATGCTAAAAATTCCAGCTCGTTCTAGGACTACTCTATTTGGAACGTTGTCCTCCCAGGTGATACCAAAAATCCATCGGAGGCAACGCATATGGAAAGTGTTCAGCTTCCTCTCCTGCCATGCATGAAGGGTCCAGGACTCACTGCAGTACAGGAGTGTGCTCAGGACACAAGCTCTATAGACCTGGATCTTGGAATATGTCATCAGCTTCTTATTATGCCATACTCTCTATGTGAGTCTAGAGAACATAGTAGCTGCTTTCCCAATGAGATTATCCAGCTCGACATGTAGGGAGGGAGTGTCAGAGATCGTTGAGCCAAGGTACACAAATTCATGGACAACCTCCAATTCTTGTGTGGTGATGGTAATAGAGGGAGGTGAGTCCACGCCCTGGCCCATGACTTGTGTTTTCTTCAGGCTGATTGTTAGTCCAAAGTCTTGGCAGGCCTTGCTGAAATGACTCATGAGTTGTTGGAGGTCTTCAGCAGAATGGGCAACAATGGCTGCATCATCTGCGAAGAGGAAGTCCCGTATGCATTTCAGTTGGACTTTGGTTCTCACTCTCAATCTAGAGAAATTAAAGAGCTTTCCGTCTGATCTAGTCTGGAGATAGACACCTTCTGTTGCAGTTCCAAAGGCGTGCTTCAGCATGACAGCAAAAAAGATCCCCAAAAGGATTGGTGCGAGGACACAGCCCTGTTTCACTCCGCTTCGGATGTCAAAGGGATCTGATGTTGAGCTGTCAAAAACTACAGTGCCTTTCATTCCCTCATGGAAGGACCTGATGAAGTTAAGGAGTCGAGGTGGACATCCAATCTTGGGAAGTATTTTAAAAAGGCCATCCATGCTAAGTAATTCTGTAGTTCACTTTTTAAAATGACATTTAAGCATCATAAGTGCCTCATAAGCTAATATTTCCTGTTCCTGTGCAATCAAAAAACAAGTGGCATACAGTATTAAATTAGCACCCTGTTTAAAGAAGGGCCCCTCTCTTTCTCAGAGCTCGGAAATATTATTTGTTTGGACCACAACTCCCAGAATCCCCAAGACAGCATGGCCTGCAGAGAAAGAAGGGAGCATGCAGGGGTAGGGGCTATGGAAGGTGTAGTCCAAAAAAGCAACATGTCTACGTTTTGCACTTTCTTAACAAAAAGCTGCTCCAAAGGGAGAAATCAAAACCTCTTAAACTGATGGGATTTGGTGCCCTCCAGATGCTTTGGAATAAACACTCCATTAGACCTGGCCTTCAAGGCCAAGGGTCAAGAATGTGGATTGCTTACTCCATAGTATCTGGAGGGTGGCAAGTCAGGGAAGCCGGCTTTAGCAGAACCTGTCCAAGAACCTCTTGTGAAGCTTCTCTGCCTCTGCTACCTGTTCCTTCCAGGCTCTGATGCTACAGGTGGCCACCCCAAGGAAGAGGGGGCTCTAAAAGTGTGACTAGGAACTGGGTCTTCTCGGTGGGGGTCACAACGCTGTGGAATGCCCTAGCCCCTTTCCTTCTAGCCTTCTGAAAAGTGGTTAAATCAGAGCTTTTGGGAAAGGCCATGATAGATTCTCGCAGTTTTGTTCATTATTTTGTTGCCGTTGCCCACAGGGGTTTTTATTTGGATTGTTTGTCTTTTCGGCTCAGGTGGGGGGGTGCAGATGTTTTTATGTACTGCAAACCTCCCAGAGTAGTGACTTGCCACTAGATGGGTAGTATTGAAATGCAATAAATAAATGCAAATTCCCAAGCCCCAAATAATTCTTTACCCAAATGAATACATTTTTAACAAATAACATCACTGTGACGGGCAGCTCTCAGGTCACTCCTGTCAGTTAGGTCAGAGCTCTGGTGTGGGAGCCTATGACATGACAGGAGGGGCGGAACCAAGAGAATAAAAGGAGACAAAAAGACAGGTAATGACAGTTTTCGGCAGGGCCGTTGATGTGTTAGAGAGAAGATAGTCATAGATATACAGAGGGACTGAAAGAGTTCCTAATAGGACAAGATCTTGGGAAGTTGGTTTGGTTAAGAATTGAATGAATTAATAGTGATAAAAATAAAAGAAACTGTTTGAATATGGCAACACTGTGATTAAAGTAAATCTAAACAAGTAAACATCTCAAGTCAAAAGCACTATTAATGAAAGAATAAAATAAGACCAGCCTTGAATTATTATCATATGAATAAATATTGTTACACTTTACAACAGAGAGTTATTATTTCTGTTTGGTACATTGAGGAGATTCTCCTCGGCAGGGTATAAAAACTGAAAATTGTAAGTAGGACCCAAAGGCAAATCTGGGAGTTAAGGAAAACAAACAGAGGAACTGGAGGGTTGCTACAATCACCATTCTCTTTGTCGCCTTCAAATAAGTCATATAAGCAAGCCCCATCACACAACGCCATGGAGATACACAAGAGGGTCAGGCTGAGGCAGAACCTCTGAAAAAGAGACAATAGCATGGGATTAATTATTTTTTTAATGAAATACCCAAAAGGGAAAAAGAAAGAAACCAGCAAGCAAACGAATTAAATAATATCAGAAAGCTATGCTTTCTCACGGCAGCCATCTTAATAGCATATGTCAATGAAATTCAGGTGGGCCTTTTAACTGGAAGAGGAACTAGAGAAGGAAAAAATTAGAAAGATGATTAAATTTTTCCAGGTTATAGAAATGTACATTGACTTTCTGCACACCAAAAAGGCAATAGACTAAATAGGGTGGGATCTTTTTGTGGGAAGCCTTTGTATTTGGGACCAGCTGTTGGAGTGCTGATACTCAGTGGAAAAACTACAGTGGGGCAGTAAGGTATTCTTGCACTGTACTGACCAGAGGAGATTTGATTGCCCTGGGAATAAGGCTGACCTCAAGGGAAATTAGAGGGTCAAACAGTGAGAGGGAATGTAGGATAATGCTGTCTCTCTGATGTTTGGGAAAAGGAGGATACAGACCCCAGTACAGTAGCTTCCTCCCACAACGTCTTTGAATGCAAAACAAATCAAGGAACAGCCACTCCAAAGAAGTGCTACTATTCCCATTCTTGCTGTTACTTTCCAAAGGTAACTACACCTTTGTTGCCATTATAAAACCTTTCCCAATGCCTGATTGCCCCCAGAAATGCCTCAGGTAGAACAGAAGAGAATTTAGCTCACCATTTTGTCTTCCTGTTGGGCAGGTGTCACTGTGTTCTTTATCAGAAGTGGCTCTGACAGCAAATACGTGGTCCTGACCAGTTTCGGCAGGGTTTCTGCTACTCAGATAAATGCGAGTGAGAAGGAGAAAAGAACGTATAGTGAGTTTCCTCACCACCCTGCCGTGGTAGGTGAGGTAACTTTCTGAAGTATCCAATCAAAATTAAATATTTGATTCTCTCTAAGTTGGTGTTTGCTTTGGAAAGAGTGATACATGGATAAACAGAGATTTTAATCTCCTTCATAGGAGACTCTCTGTTAAGCAGATTTAAACTGGACTGAATGTATTGTAAAATTTGCAATGCAGTTAATCACGGATGTATTTGATTGTAGAACAGAAGGGCTGTAAACAGTGAGCAATACATGAGAGTGGAAAGCCAGACAACGTATCAGGAAGACCATGGGAGTAAACATTCTAATAATAATAATTTATTGTCATTGTAAGTATATACACAGTATACCCATACATTCAATGTGTATCTTCTCCTTAGCGACACTGGGAATGCTAGAAATGACTACCCCCTAAATCTACCTGTTGGTTGTCTGACTGAGGATTCTCCCTCCCCATAAAAGATTTCTGGTGTCCACATGGACTGCAGCAGCACTTTTTACTAACATTCAGTTGTGCCATTTCACTCATTTGTGCATGAGAAATTGCTGGCAGGGGGCAGGGAGGGTTGATGATGCACTTAGTGGCTGCTTAAACTTTGGAAATAAATCATGAGTTAGGGATATCTGAGCTCTTCCTAAACACTGCCAGCTGCCATTTGTGGAACAACTAGCAAACCAGTAAATGCAATGTTACTGCGACACCCATCATTCGTCAGGGTTGAATTACTGTCAGTTAATTTGTACCCAGTCATTTGCCCTCTTTTAGAGCACCTCATTACATCTACTGTACATTCTTTCTTTCATTTCTTCGCTACCAGTGTGTGCTAAGTTGTTTTCCCATGAAAAACTGTACCTATGCTTTAGTTTTAAGGAGAAATGCAATATAATTACCCTCTGATGGTCAGAGTTTTACAAGCATGATCTTCATGTGCAAACAGCACATTTTTTAAAATCACAATTTCAGCCAAGATCAAAGAAATGGGAGAATCCTTACGAGTGTTATTTCTCTGTGCTTCTTCTTCACTCATGTGAGAAACAAGAGAAAAGTGTTTCAGAGTGGAAGGATCACCTAACAGGATGCTGTCCTTGCTCAGGGGACACCTGAATGTGTTCACAGTCTTCACATTCGTTGGGTGTGTGTGTGTCATTTTCTGTGCCCTCCCCCCCTGCTCGACTGTGCCAAATCTCTTCACATTTCAGTTCTTTTTATCAGGAAAGGAAGTCAAAAAGCTTCACCCACCATTCTCCCAGTCTCAGGATCAAATTGATCGGACCAGACCTGAGACTGTGAATGGGATGAACCAGCCACAACTCTTCCAGCAAAATAAAACTAAATTGGGCTCTTTCTTTAAAACTGTTAAAGCATAGCTGGTCCTTTAATAACTTTTGACATTGGTGGACACAGATGAAGTAAGAACCGGATTCATCGAAAGGAAGCCCTGACTGTCAGAGAGCAATCCAAGGGAATTGGGAAACCAGCTGTTTGACGGGCTTTGACAACATTCCTTACGGGCAGAGAAGGGTGGGGTTCTGACGCAAGAACACTGCAGCCCCCACTCCCTGCCCAGACGATACTGCTGTCTTCTCTCACGGTTAGACAACTTTCCTGTCAGTGTTTGTCAATGTGAACGCAAGGCCAATGTAGGGCATGGTGCTTTACACTGAAAAGCTACCCCTTCTGGGTCATTATTCTGCTTTAAGCAAACAGGCCAAGACAAGTGAATGTGTAACAATGGCAGCAACAATATAATAATTCCTTGAGGGTCTACGCAACACCCCGAGACTTGGCTATCCTAAAATCAAGGGATGCCGAGAGTCCAAATACATCGATCGGGAGGGGCTCAGTTTCCTCACTCTGAACCCTGCTTTCCAGACAATTCCCTACCTTCCAACTAAAGGGCAGGTGCCAGGATCCTCTTTTGATAGCCACGACAATTTGAGTGGGTTCACAGGGGCCTGGTACTTGAAGCAAGATCAGTCTACCAGGATCACATTTTCCTGAGCATTTTCCACGCGTGAACACACTCCTGGCACAAATCAGAAGGCTGTCTGTTGCTGTCTTTCAGCTGGATTTTACAAGGGCTTTGGGTGAAGTGGAAACGACACAAGATTAGGGTGGCCCCAAAAAATGGTTGCAGGGCTGAGGAATTTCTGGAAAACATTGGAGAAGAAGGTAGAAATCAATTGAAGAGGTCACTGGCTGCTTCCATGTGTCTTAAGGTCACCTTTGTGTGCCATAGAACCTGGTGGCCAGGTTTTTAGAGGTTATAATACATAAAATAGCCCTGAAGTCATTGCTTGACTGCAAGATGCCCACTTTAAGCCACACAATCTCCAGAGAAAATTCGGGGTTTGGTTATACATAGATTTATATGTTGAATAGCCAACGTTTTTATGACAGAAGAACATCAAGTATGTGTTGTACATAAGCCAGATATCAGAACGCTGTTTCTACTGCAGGTACAGAATGAGAACCCAGTGATCTTTTAATGAAATAATTTTGGCATAAAAACCCATCACTGTCAAGAGAACTGGGAGGTCTCTCACTATATACATGGCTGTGTGTCCATTATTTTTAAAGGATGATGCTTCTGCGCACGAGTAAATCTCTTTGGTACCCATGTGTCCTGGGTTCTGCAGTTTCCACCAATTACTCAAATCATTCATTTTATTGGATGCCGTTTTTCTGTGCAAGTTTTTTCGGGAAGGGCTTTCCTGGCTCTTGAGGTTTCAGGAGATATTTTCGTAAATTATATTGGTAGCCATAAAGGCTAGAAGTATGAAATATATCAACAAAAGCATTGTTGTTTTCAAATTTCAACACAAGTGATGGAAGTAGGTGAAGGGGAGATGTCTGAATTTCAGAATTCTATATGTTTTCAGCAGATGGATTATCCAGCAGCTGTTCCGTTTGTCTCCAGAACCTAATTTCTGTAAAAATTTACTCTCTTTGTTTCAGTATAGTTAAGTGAGAGACGTGAAAACAATCCTTGTTTTGGAATAGAAGCAGCGTAGAGCCTTTTAGGAGCCTGTCTCAAAGCTAGGTGTATGTTCTCCATGCATCTTTTTTATGGGAAAAATGTGGGGCGCTGTACCACCATGGCAAACAGGTTCTCTTTGCATTAAGAGTTATGGCGCACCTCACTTTCTGAGCTATCAGGTCACCCTCTACTATGGAAACATCTCTTTTCATATCTGAGAAGAGCAAAGTCATCAAGGAAAGACAAAAACAGAAGCAGATGCATGCCAGTGGGTAATTTATTCAGGTGCCTCATATAACATGAATGGGGTGCAGTGAAAACTCAGAGACACGGCACTGATGGGTCATCAATTTTATAGAACTTAAATGTGCATGTTTCTGGATCAAGCACTCTTTTGCATCCTTCAACTTTTGCAGTACCACCATATCTAGAAAGAAGAAGCAGAAAGTTAGTCAACATTTATTTCAACTTGCAAAGGTCTTTAAATGAGTTTTGTTTTTGTTGGGGGTTTTTACAGCCTCTGTAGTTTTAGTGACTGGGATGGACTTTTCTAAGCCGGGGTGATTGTCTATCTATCCAGCAGTAACAAATAGTTCCTTCCAGCTTTTAAAATTCAAAGAGAGCCACACCTCTCTGCTGAGTGTTTTCTTTCCCTTTCTTTCTTCAATTGGTGGCAGTTGTTGCTGTTCAGTTGGCTGCTAGTATGTGTGCAGTAAAGAAAGCAGTACACAAGACTTTCATTTTTAGCAACTGAAAGTATTTTGTTTTCCTCCTACAAATATCTCAAGAACGAGTTTTTGAGACTGTAATTGCTTCAGAGTCCACCCCTTATGAGAAAGTAAGACTCTGAAGAACTTGTATCTTTTCTCCTCTGTGGCTCTTGTTCGTCTACTGCACAGCAAAAGGAATTTTACCTGAAATTCAAAACTCTGCAACAGCTTTGACCTGTCAGTTCAGGCCTTGCTTGGATGAAAACTGTCTAGTAGAGGGACAGCTTTGTTAACTGCTTGGCTCACTTAGGAAATTGACCTTCACTTTGTGTGGTGCTGAGGTTTATATGGGGAATCTCCAGGTAGATACGGAATTTCTCATTTTCAAACCATCTTGCAACACTTGTTGCTGCATAATGATCCTTTTGAAAACACTCCTGGGCAGAACTTTGGAAGGTTAACTTCTAAGAAGCAATTCCTTTCCATGGCTCGTGATAACAAAGTAAAAGAAAGTTATTGCGCCACTCGTTTGTTACTTTTTCATTAGCTTTTGTTAAATGGAGAGTGTGTGAGAGAGGTATAATTAGAATTAATGTCATAATTCCCAAGCTTTTAAATCCATGCTGAAATCTTGAAAAACTGGTGCTGATCATCATATCTATCTTGAATACACAAATACTTTACTGCTTCAAACCAATCAGGCCATAGACATCAACAGAAATTAAACCACTCTTGAAAGAGAGTATTTGACATCTAATATCTTTATACTGGATCCTGAATATGGAAAGAAAAAAATCATGACTTTCATTACATGTCTATTAAAAATCCAAGTAAAAGGTAGTTCTCAGGAATCTCTAACCAAGATACGGAGTTATTTCCAGAGAAATCCACTTGTTGGCCTCTTAAAAACAGTGAAAACAAGCATCTGTCTTTCCCCCCAAAGAATACCGGTGGCTCTCCTTCTAGCTTCTTGCTGCCCTGGCTTACCTACAAAGGCCATGGATGCCATCACAGACATCCATGCATTTAATGCTTAACTGTGAGATGGTTGCCTACCGGGAGCAGCATGACATTCTGTCCGCAGAGCATTTACATATCATGCAATCGGCCGTATTCCATACAGAACCAAATGGATGCTTTGTCCCGTCATGTATGTCCGTGCACGCAACCGGAACAACAAATCTGCCTTAGAAGAAGAAGAAGAGAAAAAAGTTGTTGTTTTCTGCAGTTGAGCCCAGGAGAAGAATCTCGTTTTATCTGAGACATCTAATTTCACTCCAAGGCTCAACGGGATACTTTTAAGTCAAAGGAAAAGACTCTGGCCTGAAACAAGGGCATTCGGAGCGGTAAGGGCCGGGTTGGCTTGCTAGGTAGTGTTCCAACGGAAGATGTAAAAGTAGAGCAGTTTGTCTTGCACACCGTAAACCTTTGCTTTTGGCATAAGATATAACAAACCTGATTAAATGCATTGACAATTGTCATGTGCAAGTACATGAACAGGGAGCGATGCTAGATCCATGCACCCCAACACGGCAAGAGAAATGTATTCACATACATATTGTTTTTTCCAACTAGACCAGCACACACAATGCATTAAAGAAAGCAGTGCATGCAATATGCACATTTGTAGAAATCAACATATATTTAATATATATAAATGTCTGTCTGTAGTATTCCCCTTTGTCCAGCCATGGGCCAGATTTCATTTCCATGGATTAAAATTAAAACCCTCATTGAGCTCAGAGGTCATGGCCTGTCACGTCACAAAATCAGGGACGGGAACGTTGCGTGAAATGTCTAAATACTGTATCATGAAATCGGTGAAATCAAATCTGAGGAAGCTGGTGTTTGGCGCAGTGAAAAGAACATCCAAGGCAATTCAACTCTTCCCATCCGTTGCCAATTCAGTTCAGCTCTTGTGGGTACAGCAGCAATTTGGCTTGCAAATGTTTAGCCACTCAAGCTTTCTCCTGCCAGTAAATGAGGAAGCTGTGGTCCCAAGCAGGGGAAATATTTAAATTCCAAATCAAAGAGAGAAATGTAAAGGCAAGTGCCATCACTGTATCACTAATGCAGTCTTCCCAACTAGGTACAGTGGTGCCTCGCTTAACTGGTGCCCCATTTAACGACAAAATCGCATAGCGATGAACTTTTTGCGATTGCATTGCGATGTTTTAAATGGGGAAAACGCTTTGCGATGATCGGTACCCTGTTTCGCTTAGCAATGATTTTTAACAGCTGATCGGCAGTTCTAAAATGGCCACCGGGTAAAAAAATGGCCGCCCGCTGTATTTTTGCGTGGATTCCTCACTTACCAGGCTGCCGTATGGAGGATTTTCGCTTAAAGGGGAGTTTTAAGCCCATAGGAACACATTGAAGGGGTTTAAATGCATTCCTATGGGCTTTTTAAAATCGCATAGCGACGAAATCGCTTTGCAGCGATTTTTGCTGCACCGATTAACGTCACTATGCGAGGCACCACTGTGCTTGGCTTGTATTACAGTTCCTATCATCCCCATGCAGCATGGTACAGGGATGGTAGAAGTTGTGGTCTGTCATCTGGAGGATACCAAGTTGGGGGAAGGCTGAGCTACTAATATATGACCTTGAAAACGTAACTAGAAACTCTTGGCTAAGCGGATGAGAAAGGAAGAGAAAACAACGCTACACTCACAATGTCAGTGTGCAAGAGCCCCTTTGCTTAACAAATTCCAAGGCCTAAATAATTATTTGCTGAGATTAATAGGTTGGCAAATAATGTTACCATCTTTAAACTCCAGTTCGTTCAGCCTCTGAAAGCAGTATCCATGGCACAACGCCAGTGTGGAACAGACAACACTGAGACTGAAGATGGCTTTCTGAAAAAGAGGAAGAAATCAGCAAAAACACATGGTTTGTACGTTTTTTGGACAATGAAGACTTTTAGATCTTAAACCCATCGACATTAAACTCGTGACTTTGTGTGCATTTTGACGTATGTGGGGGAATCTTCTTTTAGAGATACAAATAAGGCATAAAAAGAGAAATATCTCATGAGAAATAATTCATGAGAGCTAGGATGATGAGTGTCCAGAGATAAATTGTGCCTTATGTCAAAGTGTATGATGCTCAGATTTGACAAGAAAAAACAACACTCGGCTGACTTACTTTTTCTCCCTAACGAAAAAAGACAAAGTAAACTAAAGAAAATTTTAAAAGGCTGAGGTAGACAGCAGGCTACAGTGGGGTCTTAATCCGTATTGGAAGGTGGTTCTCAAGTCAAAAAGTTCTCAGGTCAAATCTGCATTTCCCATAGGAATGCATTGAAAACCATTTGATCCGTATCTGCTCTTTTCCGTCCATAGGATAAATTGTGCCTTATGTCAAAGTGTATGATGCTCAGATTTGACAAGAAAAAACAACAACACTTGGCTGACTTACTTTTTCTCCCTAACGAAAAAAGACAAAGTAAACTAAAGAAAATAAAAAAAGGCTGAGGTAGACAGTAGGCTACCTTCTTTAAGGGCTCAGTGGGTATTGGCTGCCTGAGTGCTAGCTATGCTTCAGTGGAAGAAATCCTGGATAGCCATTGGCTTAGCAGCTGCGGTGTTTTGGAATATCCATAAACATTCCAAATCATGAGAAGTTTTGTTCTTTTTTAACCCTCACTGCATACGTTCTAGGCATGGATTGAGCGATATACTGTATAGTGAGGAAAGGTTTCTGGGAGTGACCCTAACAGTGCTTTCAAGGCGAGATAATGAAGGAGTGTTTTTGCTTGTTCCCCTCCCCCAGTGTGTTTCTATGGCTGAGCAGGGATTTGAACCCAGATCTCCTGAGTTATTTTAGCTACCACGCCCCACCAGAAAAATCAGGAAAAGGCCGCAGCATCGTGGACACAATACAAATGCAGAAACAGGTGATACCTTTAATCAACCCTTCGGAATATGTAAAACAAAGAAACAAAACTGGAAACAAGAAACAAACAGCAAGCTTTCAGTTATAAATCCAACTGTGCATAACGTTCTTGTGGGCAGTTCCAACTTATACGCTGTTATTAATGTCCCCAATTTGCATGGCTGATGATGTTTGAAGCCAGGTTCGCTATTTAGATGGAGAGAGTACGGTATGCAACTTGCTTTCAGCAAGCAGTTTGGAATTTATGGCCCATCTCTTAAAACAGAGGACCATCTGCCCCCCTCCTTCTCCTCCTCCTCTGTTTTTATCCCTGGATCTTATACTCAGGGGAAAAGCTTATGGAGAGCAATTAACTGATACGCTGTTATTAATGTCCCCAATTCACATGGCCGATGATGCTTGAAGCCAGGTTCGCTATTTAGATGGAGAGAGTACGGTATGCAACTTGCTTTCAGCAAGCAGTTTGGAATTTATGGCCCATCTCTTAAAACAGAGGACCATCTGCCCCCCTCCTTCTCCTCCTCCTCTGTTTTTATCCCTGGATCTTATACTCAGGGGAAAAGCTTATGGAGAGCAATTAACTGGATTGATATAGACTTTGCCTCCTCTCTCCTCTGCGTTCGGAAACAAAACTCTAGAGTAACTGGCAAGTTAAGAGGAAGGAGTGATGGGTGTGGCAGCAAAGCAAAGCATCCAAGGTAAATAAATTAACTGGATTGATATAGAGTTTGCCTCCTCTCTTCTCTGGGTTCCGAAACAAAACTGTACAGTAACTGGCAAGTTAAGAGGAAGGAGTGTTGGGTGTGGCAGCAAAGCAAAGCATCCAAGCAAGACAGAGAGCTTTGGAGGACTTTGCCGCGCACGGATCATCTGTTTCCCTCTGTTATTGTTAGCATGTTAAATTTTTATGATCTTTCAAACTCACTTTTCAACTGTCCCATAGGGCTTGTCTGCAATACACAGCTTGGAGATTCTGCTGTGTTGAGTGATCTATGAATGCGATGACTTTTTTTAAAAAATCACAGTGCGTTTCCCTGTGCCTGACACTTTTTCTAGACTGAACGAACTGCTGGCCGAAGTGGAATACGCAAGTGTTGCTCTACTTACCATCCTGGCTTCCCAGCCTCTGGAGATAAACGCTTCCAGCAAGACCGAGTCCAGCAGAAAGGAGGTGGGATGTCTGTTGCAGGAAGGAGTCCCCAGATTTATACAAAGCACCAAAGAGTAACTCTGGGTCTCCTCCCCTTGCTTTTCTGGATGAAAGGACGAGGCAAAAGGGGGTGGAGATAAAGCCACCACTGATTGGAAGGAAAGGTGTGCTTTTAGGTTTTGGGGTGTGTGTTTTGTAATGAGATGCTTGAGGTAGATGGAATACATCTTCTTACCTGGGAAAATGCCTGAGAAGAAAGAAGAACACACCCAAGCTAAAATGAGACTGTAAATAACCAACGGAATACGATGAGACATCAGAAGGTGAAGGGCTCAAGGTTGGAGGATCGGTCTACACCCTCGTCCTGTAAAAAGATGCTCTGGCCATGGAAGATGGCTTGTCAGTAGGCTCCTGAGCAAGGGCAAAATGGACAAGGAGTAACTACTATTTGTGGGGCTTAAGACAGCATTTCCAGCAAATAAGGGAAGCAGAGAGAGTAAAATATTTCAGAGGGAGAAGGAGGAAAGTATTTCAGTTAATTTTGGGTTAATTCCCTTTATTTTGGGCTAAACCGGAAAAGATAGGAAAAAGTCCCATTATTTGGATGACCGCTCCTTGAATCCACCCCCTCAAAAAATGAAAGATAAAAGAGTGATGTTTTTACAAAGGACTTTGGGCTTCTGGTTTTTTTATTTCCTAGCCTGAAAGGTTTGAGGAATTTCAAGGGTGAAGAAAAGAAGTCTCCGGTTCATGAGCGGTCTCCAGATTTATTAATGTTTTTATCTGTCAGAAATCTGGGATGGAATACGAGACGACATCCTGTAAGAAAGGAGCAAGGGCCACAGAAGAAGTAGCCCTTTGTAAGGAAGATTCAACACTCCTTAGAGATGCTAAGCTGCTCGGCGCATGAGAAACTAACTGCTTTGCTGACATGCGAGAAATTGCAATCAATGCGCATAGACCTCAAGGATCAATGAAGTGCTGCAGACTTTTGTTTCCTTTTTAGAACTGTATAAAAACTTTAACCCTGTTGATCTCGGGGTCCCCCACCCTGCCGAAGCGCACACTTGTCTTATCTGAATAAACCTGTCGCTCTTTCTTCCAAGAAACTGACGCATATTATTATTGCTTGGGCCTTAGATTAATAGAATTAGCTGAGACACCGAGCTCTGGGAGTAACAGTCCTTGCTTAGAAAATTGTCCCTGCAAGAATTTCTAGGGTTTGCTAATATTTTTCAGAAGGTCTCCCACCACAAAATGTGTCCTTAATTTATTTCACTGCAGAGACCTTTTCAGTTCATGCCTTTCCCCCTTCATTTATTTGAAAGCAATTAGTTTCTTTGGCAGGGGAGAGCGTATTTCAGAGGGCTAAAACTGGGCTGGGAATTAGCGAAGCAAATCAAAGCTTTGTGTCCTCATTAACATTTGACGTTTAGCTGAATGCAGGCAAACAAATTAAATATGAATGCCATGTACGTGGTGCAGTGAGGTTTCTTTCTTGTGACATCTTCCAGAACAAAGGGCAGAACAGCTTGGGATTGCACCACGCATGTAAGGGAACGGGCGAGTGGTTTACACATTTTGTGGGCTGTCTGTTGAGCGAGCAGCTACCCAACGTGGCAATGCAATTGACAGTACAACCTCCGCGTGACCAAGGACTTGTCTACAGGTGGCAACTGGAGGGCTGGTTCAAACTAAACAGGGTCGGTAGGAGGTTTAGCATGCCATCTGGCATGATTTCCTACATCCAAATTGCAGAGGGACCTCCATCAACTCTATTTCACCCACTGCAGCCTTTGCTAGTATCCTGAAGTGGCTTAATAAGACAGCCACTTCAGGATATTGCGAGATTAATCACTTCCTTGGCTCCACGGAGGGGCCAAGGAAGTTTGCTTTTCTTTTCAAGTTCCAGTGGGGAACTGGCCTGCCGCTGCATGGGGCAGGGGGTGGACCAAAATTACAAAAGAAAAGCACAGAAAACCTTCATGGAGGAAGCATTTCGTCTGCCTTTTGAACTGTTTCTTATGGCTTCTGTGCTATAAACATGACCGTGGACTCCCTGGGCAGGGGGTGGCAGTTATGAAATCACTCCTTCAGTACCTTCTGTGGGTGTTCTGTGCTGTCAAGCTGAAACCAACATATAGTGACCCTAATGGGTCTTTCAAGGTAGGGGAGATATTTATGGACTGACAGTTCTGCTCCCCCCGTGGTTTCCGGGTTGAGCAGGGATTCAAACCCTATTCTCCAGGTAATATATAATATATAATATGTATACTCTCCTCCCCCCTCTTGTTCAAGTAAACAATCTATTTGTTTCTGACAAAGGTGGTGTTTATTTTCGGACATTTCTTCCCAGAACACCTTCTGAGGTATTTGCTGACAAGGATGGGCCAAACCCAAAACAGGATTTTCTCATGAACCAGCAGGATGGGGTTGTGCCCCAATGATGAAAAACCACAGTAACGCTTGAGACAGCTCAGCTTTTAAAATCAAGGCAAGGATGAATCGATTCTGGGCAATGATACCAAAAAGGTGAACTTTTTGTTAACTAATGAGCTCACATTTCTTTAACTTCATTTGGACCCGAGTCTTCAATAGGGATTTTTTAAAAATCTTCTTTCACCCGTCATTTAATTTAATTTATTTATTTAAAGTATTTTTACCCCGCCTTTCTCCTTAAAAGGAACCCATTGAAATTCAATTGTTTCAGGTTGAAATCTCAGACACAATTAATCACAGCCTATCCCAGCAACAACTGAATTTCCATGATGGGCAAAACAATATTTTTCACCCGTTATATCATAAAGGCAACGGGGACCTAAAATCCAGTATGACCCAGGGCTTTTAAATGTTGTATTTCTGATCACCATGTATGAGTTTGAAACTGGACAGTTAAGAGAGCTGGCAGGAATACAATTGATGCATTTGAAATGCAGTGCTGGAGGCAAATTTTGCAGATACCCTGGACTACGAAAAAGATGAGCAAATGGGTCCTAGAGCAAATTAAGCCTGAACTCTCTCTGGAGGCAAAAAGGTTGAAGCTGAGGCTGTCCTCCTTTGGGCGCATCCTGAGAAAGCAGGATTCTCTGGAAAAGATCATTATGATGGGAAAGGTTGAAAGCAGCAGTAAATGAGGATGATCAAACATAAGAGGAATTGACTCCTTAAAAGAAGCCACAGGTGGTTGTTTTCAAGAGCTGAGATGAGAGGTTGAGGACAGGACCTTTTAGAGATGGCTCATTCATAGGGTTGTCAAAAGTCAGAGGCAACTTGACAATTGTTGTTTAGTTGTTTAGTCGTGTCCGACTCTTCGTGACCCCATGGACCAGAGCACGCCAGGCCCTCCTGTCTTCCACTCCCTCCCGGAGTTGGGTCAAATTCATGTTGGTAGCTTCAATGGCCCTGCCCAACCATCTCGTCCTCTGTTGTCCCCTTCTCCTCCTGCCTTCACATTTTCCCGACATCAGGGGCTTTTCCAGGGAGTCTTCTCTTCTTATGAGAGTATTGGAGCCTCAGCTTCAGGATCTGTCCTTCCAGAACAGATATGTTTGTTCTCCTTGCAGTCCAGGGGACTCTCATGAGCATCCTCCAGCACCACAATTCAAAAGCATCAATTCTTCAGCGGTCAGC